TCAGGCCAACAGACCCACGGGGCCTGAGTGTGCGCCCGTCCACCGGCGGAGTGACACCGGAAGCTCCGGCCCTGACTGGGGCCAGAGTGCACGCTTTTCCGTTGTTGATGAATTCTCACTTCTGAAGAATAATTTCTGTTGTGTCCCCCCCACGAGTGCATACTATCTTTTCTCAATCAAAGTGTGCCCCATCGACGCTCGCACCCTGTTTTTCGACAGGGAAAGTATTGATGCTCGAACTGGGCCCCTGGCCCCCGGGTTACAACAACAACGGCTCCCGCTTGTGACTTCCTAACAATTTAGCCAGGACCCCCGCTCCCGCCCGAAACTTCCTCACATTTTATTCAGGAATCGCGCTCTCGCTTGGGACTTCCTTACAATTTATTCAAGAATGACTTTCCCGGCGCTCTGCAGTCGCGCTCTCGCTGGAGACTTGCTTGCAACTTACTGAAGAATGGCCTTGCGTTGGAATTTCCTACGATTTGCCCAAGCGCCGCGCTCCCCACACCCAGGCACGTAGGAGTCGCGCCCGTTGTGGCCCCATGTGCATGCCCTTCGTGGCCCCGCTGTTGCAATTTGTGTCCCCCTCACTGTCCTACGTGGCCCAGTTGCTACCCTCAGTGGCCCCATAGTTGCCTTCTGTGGCCCCGCATTATCTGCACTTCGTGGCCCCCGCTCGTTCGCGCTCTTCGTGGCCCCATACGCATTCCCTTCGTGTCCCCGCTGTCGCCCTTCGTGGCCTATTTCGTGCCCTTCGTGGCCCTGCTGTCGTTCTCTCTTGTTCTCGCTTTCGCTCGTCGTCGCCGTCGTCGTCGTCGTCGCCGTCGTCTTCGACGTCGTCGTCGTCGCCGTCGTGGTCGGTTCCCTGTCCGTCCCTCTTGGGGTCGGATCGACGGTCCGCGGCCGCCCCGCCGATCAGCGCTGCCGCTGGCCAGGCCGACGGTCCGCGGCCGCCCCGCCGCTTGCTGGGGCCCGGCCTGCAGAGGGCGGATATCGAGGGTTTGGGAAATACGCGTTATTGGACACTCGAGCATATAAAGGGCGAACGGTCTTAAACGTATTATTGTTGTTGTTGTTGTTGAATTTTCATTTATGAAGAACTATTGTTGCTGATCCCCCCAAAGCGTCAACGGAGACTACGAGCAGATAAGAGCGAACAGTCTTAAAATGATTGTTGTTGTTGCTGTTGTTGTTGGTGGTGGTTTTGTTGTTGTTGGTGTTGTTGTTGGTGTTGGTGTTGTCTGTGTTGTTGTTGGTGTTGTTGTTGTTGGTGTTGTTATTGTTGCTGCTGCTGTTGTTGTTGTTGTTGGTATTGTTGCTGTTGTTGTCTGTGTTGGTGTTACTGTTGTTGTTGCTGCTGTTGTTGTTGTTGTCTGTGTTGTTGTTGTTGTTGCTGTTGTTTGTTGCCGTCGTTTCCCCCGCGACCCGTCCGCGACCCGCCCCGCCGCTTGCCGGGGCCCGGTTTGCAGGGATGAAAGGTATACCCTTCAAAAGGGGTACGTTCGAAGACGAAGCGGGCGGGTATCGAGGGTTTGGGAAATACGCGTTATTGGACACTCGAGCATATAAGGGTGAACGGTCTTAAATTTATGATTGTTGTTGTTGTTGAACTTTCAATTCTGAAGAACTATTGTTGCTGATCCCCCCCACCGGTGCATAATGTTGTTTCAATTGAAGTGTCCATCCCGGCGCTCGCACTCGTTTTTTTTATCAGGGAAAGTCTTGAGGCTCAAACTTTGCCTTAGGCCCCCGGGTTACAACAACAACGGCTCTCGATTGAGATTTCCTCGCAATTTAGCCCTGACCCCCGCTCTCGCCTGAGATTTCCTCGCATTCTATTCAGGAATCGCGATCTCGCTTGGGACTTCCTTATAATTTATTCAGGAATCGCTCTCTCGGCGCTCTGGAGTCGCGCTCTCGCTGGAAACGTGCTTGCAATTTTCTCAAGAATAGTGCCCTTGCGTTGGAACTTCCCGCAAGTTATTCAAGCGCCGCGCCCCTGACAATCAGGCGCTCAGGAGTCACGCTCACGCCTATGACTCCCTCACACATTATTTAATCGCTTCGCTCATGCCGCCGGCCCTGGAGCCCTCTTTAGGGCCTCTTGGGGGCCTCTTGGGGACCTCTTGGGAGTCTCTTGGGGCTCCTTGGCGGCGTTTTGGAGGCCCCCAGGGCCTCTTGGGGGGCTCTTGGGGGTAGTCGATTGCGGCTCCCCCCTCGGAGGCCACGATCCTCGTGAGGGGTGTCGAAAAATACCCTCCCCTGGAGTGGTCTGGTGGCTTCTCCCGGGCTTCTCTAGGGACCTTGCCGGGGTACTTTTCGTCCGGGGGCCCCCAGGGGCCGCTCCGCGCGCGCGAACTAGAAATTTTGTTAACAAGTTACCGGAGATCTTAGCACGCCTCTGGCCCGTTGGGCCGGCGAATTTAGGAGTCGGGTGCAGCCCTTCGTTGCCCCCTCGCTGCCCGTCGTGGCCCCGTTGCAGCCCTTCGTGGCCCCCTCGCTGCCTTTCGCGCCCGCGTTGCAGCCCTTCGTGGCCCCCTCGCTGCCTTTCGTAGCCCCATTGCAGCTCTACGTGGCCCCCTCGCTGCCCGTCGTGGCCCCGTTGCAGCCTTTCGTGGCCCCCTTGCTGCGTTTCGTGGCCCCGTTGCAGCCCTTCGTGGCCCCCTCGCTGCACGTCGTAGCCCTGTTGCAGCCTTTCGTGGCCCTCTCGCTGCCCTTCGTGGCCCCGTTGCCGCCCTTCGTGGCCCCCTCGCTGCCCTTCGTGGCCCCGTTGCAGCCCTTCGTGGCCCCCTCGCTACCCTTCCTGGCCCCATTGCAGCCCTTCGTGCCCCCCTCGGTGCCCTTCGTGGTCCCATATATGTATGCCTTTCGTGGCCCCCGCTCGTCCGCGCCCGCCGTGGCCCCATATGCATGCACTTCGTGGCCCCGCTGTCGCCTTTCGTGGCCCCCATCGCTGCCCTTCGGGGCCCCATTGCTGCCCTCAGTGGCCCCGTCCTTGCCCTCCGCGCCCCAATATACGTCTGCCCTTCGTGGCCCTTGCTCGTTCGCGCCCGTCGTGGCCCCATGTGCATGCCCTTCGTGGCCCCGCTGTCGCCCGTTGTGGCCCCCTCGCTGTCCTACGTGGCCCCGTTGCTGCCGTCAGTGCCCCCGTCGTTGCCTTCCGGGGCCTTCTTATCTGCCCTTCGTGGCCCCCGCTCGTTCGCGCTCTTCGTGGCCATACGCATTCCCTTCGTGTCCCCGCTGTCGCCCTTCGTGGCCTACTTCGTGCCTTTCGTGGCCCTGCTGTCGTTCTCTCTCTCGCTCTCGCTTTCGCTCGTCGTCGTCGTCGTCGTCGCCGTCGTCGACGACGTCGTCGTCGTCGTGGTCGGTCCCCTGTCCGTCCCTCTTGGGGTCGGGCACCGCCGATCAGCGCTGCCGCTGGCCAGGCCGACGGTCCGCGGCCGCCCCGCCGCTTGCCAGGGCCCGGCCTGCAGGGAAGAAAGGTATACCCACCTAAAAGGGGTACGATCGAAGACGACGAGGGCGGGTATCGAGGGTTTGGGAAATACGCGTTATTGGACACTCGAGCATATAAGGGCGAACGGTCTTAACTTTATTATTGTTGTTGTTGTTGAACTTTCATTTCTGAAGAACTATTGTTGCTGATCCCCCCAACGCGTCAACGGAAACTACGAGCTGATAAGAGCGAACAGTCTTAAACTTATTGTTGTTGTTGTTGCTGCTGTTGTTGTTGTTGGTGTTGTTGTTGTTGTTGTTGCTGTTTTTGTTGTTGTTGTTGTTGTTGTTGGTGGTGGTGGTGGTGGTGGTGGTGGTGGTGGTGTTGTTGTTGGTGGTGGTGTTGTTGTTGTCTGTGTTGTTGTTGGTGGTGTTGTTGCTGTGTTTGCTTATGCTGCTGTTGTTGTTGTTGGTGTTGATGTTGCTGTTGTTGCCTGTGTTGTTGTTGATGCTGCTGCTGTTGTTGTTGGTGTTGTTGTCTGTGTTGTTGTTGTTGTTGTTGTTGTTGTTGTTGTTGTTGTTGTTGTTGTTGTTGTTGTTGTTGTTGTTGTTTGTTGCCGACGTTCCCCCCGCGACCCGTCCGCGACCCGCCCCGCGACCCACCCCGCGACCCACCCCGCGACCTACCCCGCGACGCATCCTGTGACCCACCCGCGATCCAACCCGCGACCCGCCCGCGACCCACCCCGCGACCCACCCGCGACCCACCCGCGACCCACTCGCGACCCACCCTGCGACCCACCCGCGACCCACCCCGCGTCCCATCCGTGACCCGCCCGGAACCTACTTGCGACCCACCCCGCGACCCACCCGCGACCGATCCACATAGCTTTGAAGAACAGATCGGCGCTTGCGACGGGCTTTTCCAGTGTCTCGCAGACTGCCCACGGTCCCGCCCGCCGCCCCCTCACTCTTATCCGCATATGCGGGGTGCTACGTAGCTTGTTCCCGGGCGGAGTGGGCATTGGCCCTCCTCCTGGCTCTGTCTGTCCTGGCCAGGCTGTCCTAGCCAGCGGTGGTCAGGCCTCTCGCTGCCGCGAAGCTCTGCTAAGCATTTGCGTGTCGACTCACCTCAGTTATGTGTGCGATTGTGCGTTCTCACCTTGTTCATTCAACTCTCGCCTGTCCCCGTCTCGACTCGGCGCGTCGCTTGATGTGCTCGCTGCTCCTCCTCTTTCTCCTCATTCTCCGCCGCTTCCCATCCCTCGTCATCTTCCCATCCTGGAACACAGTGTGGCAGTCAGTCTGGGGAAACGGTCCGGGCAGACGACCCTCCGGGGACGCAGTGCCAGGTAGTAGGTTCTGGGGAACGGACTTGCGGAAACGGTGCCTGGGAATTGGATCCAGGGAAAAGATTTGGCGGAAATGGCCCGAGGAAACGGATTTCGGTGAAGAGGTCCTGTATCTTGCTTGCGCGCCGTCAAGCAGGAGCCATCGGAGGTAGGTAGATCGAGAAGGTAGCGCGGTCATTGGGCACCACATGGCTAGCCCAGCAGTGCGCGCAGGTCAGCTCCGAGTCCAAGACCATCACGGCCTTGGATCCCATGGAGCTGGACGGTCCTTTGATCAGCATGTACCCCGTCGGGTCCACAGTCACGCAGCAGGCGGCCCACTATCCGCGGCATCTCTCGTGTCGAGAGTCGAGTTTGGTCGCTGGGGCACTGCTAGTGGAAGAACAATATGTGAATCAATGCACTTTGGGTCTCGTTAATCTGCTATGGAGTCCCACTTCGCTACGCTGGACCAATCCTTCGTCTTCTCGAATGCTCCCTCCGACCAAGGACCGCAGACACACGCGGTGAGAAGACGGTGCTCGCATTGAGAGCATCGAGAGAAGCTCAAACGCCGCGTCGTCAACTGCGGCCCTCTGTGAGTTAGAAATCCTGGCGTGCGACATGGCGATTTGGTGTTCCTACACTGCCGATGTCGAGAGTTCAGCGCGACACGCTAAGCATGTCCCAGCCCCGAGCATTGGCGTTCCGGGCTTTCTCCGCCTTCCTGCCCCACGAAACACCCTACGTTCCGTCAGGGTTCCTTGGGTTTTTTTGGCTGGCGTTCGTCGCGGAAGGTGCCGCAATCTCGAAGAAACTGCATGGGGTTGGGAGGCCCAACCAGCAGCTTCGCCTTAGGCGAAGCCCAGCCCCAGCTCTGTTGTACCGTAGCAGCGATAGTCCCAGCAGTAGAGGGCGTGCCATCTTAAGCAGTAAGAAGATCATTTTGGTCACGATGGCGAATAGTATGCCTCACAATGAGGCGCAGTCACATTTGGGTGGCCGGCCGCTTGAGCCGACGCGGCCGCGGGCACACGCTCGCTTCCGCTTCCTGTGTCCCCCAGCTCGCTTTAGAGTGACCCCTCTGCCTACCCCCTCCTCATGGGTCTGAACGGAGTGGGAGGCGGCGCCGCGAGTTAGACCGGCCAAGATGGCCTCAGCGAGAAAGCACAAATCGTTGATGCATGATCCTAAGAGGCCCCCAGAGGCCCCCAAGAGGCACCCACCACACCCTAAGAGGTCCCCAAGAGCCAGCAAGAGGCTCCCAAGACGCTCCAAAAGACATCCAAGGGGCCCCCGAGAGACACCCCAGAAGACGCAGGAAAGCATCCAAGGGGCCTCTGGCCACACAGGCCCCCGAGATCCCCAACTAATACCCCGCTTCCTCGTTCAGGGCAATTCCGATGGGCATCGTGTCTGGGTTGACTGTTGGGCCGCATCCGAGGACACCTCCGAGGACTGGTACGGATACTTTTTTTTGATTGGCGGCTCCAAGGCAGAGTCCAAGAAGCGGGGCAAGCACGTCTGGGGCACAGGCGAGATAATTGGTTACGAAGGCGCCAAGGCCGACGCAACGAGTGCACCTGCAAGAGGCAAAATGCCCCACATTACGATGCAAGCTACCCGAGAACGGGGACGCAAGCACCAGACTGGAGTAGACGGGGAGAAGACGCACAGTGGCACCAGCTCAGCCGTACAGTCCAGAGAGCGCAGGCTGGGGCCGAACAGCCAAGTGGCAGGACAGTGGGCACGTGTGGCCGCACCGCTCACCACTAGGAGGCAAGAAAGCGGAAATGCGCGGGCAGAAGAGGGGTGGCCGGGTAAGCCTCACTCACTTGGACTCATAGGCGCGATTCGACGTGAGCCATCGACCAATGCACTGACGTCGATGCAGCCGCGGAGTCCGTACGTGACTGCCTGACCAGGAGTGTCGGGGGAACAGCAGCAGGCGTGGCCTAACACCATGGTCCAATTCGTAGGAGAGCATAAGTACTGCCAAAGGATGAACCACTTGTGCAGTACCAGGAGCACGATGGAGGCTCCCGCCCAGAGGTGGACCACGTCGTCGGCGAACAACGCAGGCAGCTTATCCATAACGGTGGACGGGGGAACCAAGCGGCGTGCGTCAACCGGGGGCCGTGGTGGACCAGAAGGGGGAACGTCGACAGTCGCGCAAAGGGTGTACCACTTGTCGTACCGCACACACCCCAGGTCCGGCCCCCGGTGGTGTCGGGGCAGGCAGAGGCCCGAGTTGTCAGGACAACTCGAGGCGGCAGCGCGGCCCGACCTCACCTCGGAGCTCTGCAAGAGAGCCGCCAGGTGGTGCGTAGACCCAAGTGCTCGAACAGCCTCGGTAGGGGGGAACTCGTGTGTGGCAGAAACCGCAGGAGGAGGAGAGGGGGGAGGAGGAGACGCAGCCGATAGCCGCAAAGTCAGGTGAATGAATGGAGGAGGGGGAGGCGACGCCATGGCAGATACAGCGAGACCTTGGCCAGATGCGGTGGGACCTCGGTCGCGGGGGGAACAGGGCGCCTGATCATGCTGGGGAACGCTACGTCCCAGCTGCAGGGCAGCGTCGTCGGGGGGGAAGCACGTGAGGTGCAACGCGTTGGAGTCAGGTGGAGTGCGTGGGGTGGGCCAATGGCCACCATCCCCGGCCGTCCAAAGTAGGTGTCCCAGGGGGAACAAAGTGGGTGTCCCGGTGGTGCACGGGGGGTGGGTTATTTCAGCCACCACCCGCCGTACGAAGGGTGCCACGAGACCAGCGTGGGCTGTCTAGTGCGCAGCGCATGGGTATTGGTGCACCTCAGCCCCAAAAGAGGTGGCACGGGGGTATTAAGGCCGAGGCCTGGCGCCGCGGTGAAACCGGTCCCTGCCCGTGGGGGACGCCCACGAGGGAGGCAGGACTGTTGGGGATTGACACGCCTCGTTCCTCAGTCCTTCTCCCCTGCATCGCTGTGCGCAGCGAAGGGTCGGTTGAGGACCATGGGGCTGCCGACCCAGCGGGCACCGCCTGGAACGGAGGGGTCCCAGATAGTCCACAAGGTCAACGCGATGGAGACCACCTTGTAGAGGGAGGGGGAGGCTGTCCCAGCTTGCCCCAGGTCGTCATTGTCCAAAAAGCAAGCGTTGCGCTCCATGACAGTCTCAGTGGCAACTCTGAGAATGGACATGGTTGGGTGAAGAAAGGCTTGAGCCGCAAATAGGCTACGCGGGGCATCCTTCCCGGAACCCGGGGTAGGACCCATTGAGCAGGTGGGGGGAGGCGTGAGGCACGTCCGCGAAGGGACCCTGAGCGGGCGGGCAGACCCCTCCGACCTGTGGGGGGTACTTGGGCGTCAGCGTCAAGGCCTTGTCGCGATCACTTGGGGTCAAAGTCCCACCCGCGCTGACGCTTGTCCGCGTAGTGGGTAATTCCTCTGGGGGAGGACCGCTTCCCCCTGGCCTTCCAGTCCGTGTCGGTCCACGTGTCTTGCTGGTGCTCCCACGCGTCCCATGACTGCCAAAAACGCCAGGGGGCTGCACAGGCGGAACGCAACTTGAAGTATTCCTCCCAACAGCCAAACACTACCTCGGACTCCAAGACGGTCTCAAGACGCCCTACGACTACCCAAACACGCGTCCAAAACTGGCGCAAGACGACCACTAGATCACCCCGTGCGCCTCCAAGATCTCTGGATGGCCTAAAGGATCCTCCCAACCAGTTCCAAGACCCCCCATCTGTCTGAAGAAACCCAGCAAGAGCCCTGCGACGAAGAAGTCCCATGAGGTTCCCAAATATCTATACCCCGCGATACCAACCTCCTCCTCCTCTCACTACGGTGAGGAACGTTTGCTTAGCGTGTCGCGGCGGCGGCCACTGCGACACGCTCCGCCTTGCAATATCATACAGTGCAGGTCGATGCATAAGAAACCCACCGCAAGAAACCCAACCTCGAAATCCGCCGAGGTTTCTTGGTCCAAGGTTGGGTTTCTTGCACTTCGGCTACTAATAAACCAAAGGTACCCAGAATGCCCGTATTTTTCTTGGAGGTACGAGCGCGCGCCCCAAAACTGACCGACGCCCAAGAAACCCAATGTGCCCTGGCGCACTTGGTTCCAGATCCACTTATGGTGCACAGCGTTCGATTTTATGAGGGTTTCCAATTCAGCCGAGCACCTGATTCGTCATGACATGGACAGATGCTTGTAGCTAGTCATTCGATGCATCTTGCAGTGCAGAACACTTGGATTATCTGTGTTCTTTCACGTTCAGCACTCTACTGGAAGACATCGAGCACAGTGTAATTTTAAACGCTCGGCTGGATGACATGGTGGAGGTAATTTTGTTATCCCCAGGCGAGATCGGGCGTTACCAGGGGGGGGATGGACAGGGGGCTTGGCGCTGGCGCCGTCTGAGAATGTCTAGGGATACCTAGGGGAGACTAATGCCAAACCAGCGCCGGCGCGAATCAGGACGTTACCAGGGGATCGGTTGGATGGGGGGAAGGCGAGGCTACTAACGGCGCAGTGTTAGAACGACAGTTGGATCAAGGCTTGTGGGGGTTTGTCGGGGATGGGGGCTCGTGCGCAGAGTTAAAACGACAGTTGAATCAAGGCGGCTTGCATTACAGCTCCGTTGTGTAATCCCGCCATCGCGATCGAGCTAATTTGGGTCAGCTGCTGCGCTGCGGAGCAGCCGCTCTAGCGGGGCAGAGCTCCCAGCGAGAGTCCAACACGACCGTGGATGTCTGGGTTACGGTTGCCGAGTCAGTTTTTTTGCGCTTAAACGAGAGCGCAACTGCTCGACGGCTATCTCTTGTCTGTATCCGAATGCAGCTGTTCAGTTCTGTGTTGCGCGTGTTGCTGGCGGAACTGTTCCAGGCAAGGGGGTGCGCACACTAATCGAGCCGATGGGCATCGAAAGCATGCGTCTCGAGGTTTCGGTAATATCTCAGGGTCGCACGGCCTTTTCTGGAGGTCTTGATGGCACGGGGGTCGGCCACCGTCTCCAACAGTGCTGGAAGTTACGGATGGCTAGGCGCTCAGAGATAATAGTTACATTAAAGGCCGCAGCTCCGCAGTAGGCTGAGCGTGCGATTTCTATCAAGCGTTCTTATGCTGGCTGCGCGCTATGGGTTCCCAGAAGTCCGATGACGTTTGTTTGTTTAGTCGATTGCTCTTTTATGTTTAAGTACAGTGGCGCTCAGACGTGCTGGTCCTTCCTTGGACCTGGTGCACCCGCAGGGACGCCAAGATGACCGCGCGTCGCTCGCAGGCCCCAGACATCCGATTCCGTGTTTTTTTCAAAACGCGGCTCCCCAGAGGTCTGGGTTTCTTCCCAGGGCCAGTTT